GAAGAAGTTCGGGCAATAGATGCTTTCCTCTGGTACAATTCTGTTGACCTAATGTTCTTTCTAGCTTCATGGGTAGCTTAGGTGAGGTACCATCACCATCATGTTTACATGAGGGTCAACCACTGCACCGTTCTTTGTTGTGACATGACGTAAGTTATTGTAACTGCTCGCAGACTCCATAACTTCCAGCAACACCTAGCATGGTTTTCCGTCACCGTTGTGGGTGAACAAATTCCTGTCCAACATATTTATACAGACATACCAGCACACACCATGCGCCATACTTGCCCTGCCCTGTCGAGTCACAGCCACGTTGGCCCGGAGGGGCAGTGGAGAGAGAATGGGAGAACGCCGCCCCATGGCGCCCGGGACACAAAAACAAGAGTTTGTCCGGCTACGTAGGGAGCAACACACATACATATACATACACCACACACACACACACACACACACACACACACACACACACACACACACACACACACACACACACACACACACACACACAAAATGAGAGTTCGGGTCATCTGCCACGAGACTGACGGGACGGCCGGGGAGAGCTTCAGCAGCCGTGTCTATTCCTGCCCTGGACCGAACGGAAGCAGCGGTCGCGGGACACACAGTATTCACCACAACACGGCTCCACTGTCGTTGGGGGCTGAGCCACACACTTGTGACGGGCAAGAACGCCACAGCTAAGAAAGCAACGGCCACAGCGATCACACTGGCATGCTCCACGCTGCTCCTGCACACACTCTCTCCCTCTCTCTCTCTCTCTCTCTCTCTCTCTCTCTCTCTCTCTCACACACACACACTCACACACACGCACACACACACACACACACACACACGCACGTGCGCACATACTGCAAGAAAGAAAGAGAGCATGAGTGTCAGATTCTTGCATAGGAAGTGTTTATCAGCACACACTTATACATGCACATGCAGGCACTCAACGACCAACTATGCACCATGCCGTATGTTCGTCAAACATAAGATTGCAATACCAAGGAACAACATAAACAAGATCACTTACTTCGTTCTCCTCCAAGTGTGTCCTCCCCAGCCATTTCCCTAGGCGGAATGTAGCCTACGAAATGGTTTCTCTAGACTAGGAGAAGATGCTTGGTATTCGCCATCTCTCCTGAGAAATGTTCAGCAAAAATGTCAAAACATACGACATTATTTCGTTCGCTAATCTCCGCTACTCGTCGTCTCACCTGGCTTCAGAAGATGTTACGAGAGATAGGAGAGTCTCCAGCAGGCAGCGCATCCATCTTCAGGAAGTGGAAAGAGCAAACGGCATGGTCCTTGGTTGAGGTAAATGCTGAACGTTTGATTTGTCCCAACCAAGATTTCAGCACTTGGTTCGTCACGATTTTCGCTTGCCAGCTAACGTCTCCGCACTCCAGCTTTCCCCTGTCGGTGTCACGTCCCAGTACACAACGGAGAGGACTACTAATAAACAGTTCACGGCACTAACAGCATTGAACACAGTACTTCTTTCACTTCGTGAATACAAGAAGACAACTGAAAATGACACAATTCTGCAGTGATCGACCTTCTCTCTCACGGAGCTAAGCAGAATGTGCGTCATCACCTGTAGTCGCCATGGAAACGGGATCAGGAAATCGGCGATATGGCAAGTTTCCCTTGCCGTACGCAAGCGAGAGATATACCATCGGAACCGATATCCAATTGTCTTTCATCTGAGCCCTACTTGAAAAATCGATGCACTTCCCCTTTAAGCTACATGCATTGAGCGTGGCTATTTTTATGCCAGACTGAGTCGGCGTAGATGCATGGGGTATAAAAGGTGGTGCATGAGGATTGAGAGGGAGAGTCATAGTAGGGGCTAGATGTTGATGCAGATAGATACAGACAAATGCGGAATAAAGTTAAGCCAATGAGACAAACAATGCAAGGCGCGCAACCTCTAACAACTTACAAGCTGTCCCTTCGCCTGCTCCCGAGCTTTCGCTGTGGCATACTCATCCGAAGCCTTGTGACGAGTTGACGAATGGCTTTGCTCTCCTCACTCTCAGTCACCTGGACTCCCTGCTTTGTAGCCGGAGTAATAACACGCGCTGGGAACGTGTGTTTCCCACGAGCCAGCTTGAAGCCTTGGTCATCGGGTGATGGGTGACCAGCTTTGCCTCTACTCATCGGGAACGCGGGTGTGGATGAAGATGTGGGGGCAGTCGCCTCGGTTCGAGCACTCGTGCAGGGAGTGTGAACTCCCAATGCATTGGCGTACGTCCACGGTTGTGGTGCATCAGGGACATGATCCTGTGCCTCCTTGTTCACACTGCCTTCTTGTTGCTGCTTTGCTGGTGTTGGTAGCGCTGCCACTTCTTGGTTTTCCTGCCCCTGCCCAAGTGGTTCTTGGGGTGGTGCAAGCTCGCTTGTTGACGTTGCAGCTCCCGGACTGGGCTTGGTGCCCTGCTGCGAGATCGCCCTGCAATCCCTCGCCACGTGGCCGGGGGTGCTACATTTCCAGCACGTGGGGGTCTGCCCTTTGTGCCAAACTCGCAGTTTGTACCGGCCTACGGTGATGGAGCTGGGGACAGCGATTGTGGGTACCATGGTGTAGTATACGATACCTGTACTGAAGGTGCAGCCCTCAACCGTCTTTTTCTCGTTTTTCGCGGGCCCCAAGAGTGTCCCAAAACGACTCAGTGAAGACGCAATGGCCGACAGCGCCATGTCCTCCGGAACTCCAAACACATGCACCGTTTCAGCAGTGCCATCCCCTGGCAACAATTCCAAGGTCTTCCCTTGGGCCGACAGTCCGCGGGAGAGCAACGTGTCACGGGCAGCTGTCGAGGCAAGAGTTACTTTACACGTACCTCTCCTGCCCTGAATATCAATAACTCGGATGTCCGTGCTCCGAACCCCTGCTCCGAGAAGCAGCTTGACGAAGAAGGCATGGTCCTCTGACGCAAGATCCTTACTAAGGTTGATGCAGCAACTCCTGGAGGTACTGCTAGACATACTTGGGACATAAGCTAAGAAAACCGCAGAGCGAGAAAATCTGCATCCGCACTCAAATTTGAAAAATCGTGGGGGGGAAATGCAGGTGCTACTTGATGTTTCAGCTTGCCTCGCCGACAAAGTCTCAGAGGTCCGGAAGTCCAAACTCATTCTTCGTTCCCAAGCTACTACTAGTACTAGGTAGTCTGGCTAGCCTACAAAATTTAATGTAGTTGATTATGCTCGAAAATTTAGAGCCCGCACAGCCAAGTTTCGATTGAAACCAGAGCAATCAGCATTCTACCACTGGCTTGGCAATCCCAGCTCCTCACATACCAGTGGGCTCATCCACTCTGGCACAGTGGCTGAAGGGTATCTTGTCCCTGTTTGGGAATTGAGCCAGCCTTCCAGGCTCATTACACCTACTCGCGGCGCCTCAGCTGCAGCCGCTTTCCAGGCTGTCATGTGTATGTCAGATGCCTAGCTGGCAGCCAATTGGAGCCAGCCTGATACATTTGTATCCCACTATAATGGTCACAAGCTGTGCTCAAGACAATAGCTCAGCCATTCATAATCATCCTTCCAGTGTCCCTACTCAGCTGCTGCCTCTCCGGACTGAGGGTGCCTATGTTTCACCTACTGATAGTGCAATCCGTGGTAGTAACCCAACTGCAGTATTAGTATTTGTGGGAATATCCGAACATTGCATTCATGTACAATGTATATGTAGTCTGGATGAGTGGCACTGTCTGTGCATCACTTAGGGTGCCGTAAATTGTGTGGAGGTTCTCTCTTGTCAGGCTATTTACCCTGAGGAGTGAGTGCTGTTGTCCATGTTTGCACTGGATGACGTTCAACGGTTGTTATGCTATAATATTGCTTTTCCAGCTCTATCACTGTGGAGAATACATGTTTGAGCAAGTATTGAGATTTGGTCTCAGCCTTGTCTTTGAAAATCACACTGTCACATTCGAAGGCCGAGCCTCCGAAATGCAATCGTAAATTCCGCTAGGACCCTAAGGGTCTGACGTGGAATTGGGGAATAAGGAGGTGAGGCTGAGAATGTGACAGTGTCCCACCCTCCCAGTGCAGTGATACCCCAGAACACTGTCACAGTAATCCATTCAAGAAACGGCTCAGAAAGGCCAAAGAGATTCTGGGAAGGGTTGGTTTTGGCGGGAAATGAGGTTGAATGTGTTTGTCTTTAAAACGCTATGAATTATATGAAAACGGAGCGATTTTGGGCCTAACACACTGTCACATTCTCAGCCTCACCTCCTTATGCAACCCCAATTCCACGTCAGACCCTTAGGGTCCTAGCGGAATTTACGATTATCTGTTCACGAAGCTAGCGAGTAGAGGGATGCAGAGATAGAGTGCAGTGTGGTCGGCTAGCTGTGGCAGTCCGCACTCCTCGCCAAAGCAGAGCGTCTTCCGGTCATGGGGTGCGCATGCGAGAACGGCTCACACCTCATGACTGGCTGTTCACAAACTGACAAAGCTAGCGGGTAGAGCTACTAGAGGGGTGGTACTACATGTAACGATGGCCTCGGCTAGCTAAACCGCGAAGGTCACAATCTGTCAATCATCATTATCGACTGGATTAGGTCCTTGATCCCCTGGCATGTAGATCTACGTCTGCACTACAGGTAGATCTACATGACTATACAACTACAACTAATAATTACTTACTTTCAAGTAGCGTCCGTCTACTAGTACTGGCTGCGTCGTTCCAAAACTCCAATGATGATCATGTAGATCCGTTCCTCCAGTCTAGTAGTGACTAGTACATGTACTAGTCCTGTCTCCACTCTCCACTCCAGTTTACATCTCACATTGCGAGCAGGCAGCACACGTAGATCTACTTCTCTGTACTTTTTTTGTAGACCCGCACGCAGCTGCGTAGACACTCTGACAGTTTGGTGCTGTAGCCAGTGTAGATCTGGTACATGTAACATGGTGTAGGCCAGGGACTAGTACTGGCAGTACTGCGAGGCAACCGCTGCGTCGGCTCTACCGCCCTGCAGAACTCCATTTCCTCTCCTTTCTCACATAACAAGTTTCTGTCTGGGTTGGTCGACGGGAAACGTTCCTGGCCCTCAACCATGAGTATCGAAAAAGATAACCTGCAGTTGATACGTGAGGCCGTTGCTTCACTTGCAGCCAAGGATCGAGAGAAGGAGAACGCCAAGCTGAAAGAAGCCGAGCGCCGGGCCAAAGAAGAAGAAGAGGCAGCGGCCAGACGGGAGGCGCAGCTAAACGAAGTCATAACCCGAGTGTTTGAAGGCCACAAACCCTCGATTACCGTCCAACGTAACACGCTATAACTACAAGGAGGGCGCTTACAAGTCTATCGGTATTACGGAGCACATGGTCGTCCACTGGGAGATGCCCAGCTATCTCATTCGGGCGGATTCAGAAGAGGCTGAAAGACAACGCTCGCGCGCTCTAGATTACGAGAGAAGCGGCTCGCTCACCACCACCACCTCCCGACGTTTCTCGCATTCGCTAGACCCGGACGAGCAGAGTGACGGGGAAGAGGACGACGACAACGACGATGAGGATGATGACGGGGAGGAATCGTCGACCAGGAGAGCAAAGAAGGAGAAGAATGCGGACGCATCCAGAGAGGGCGGCGGTGCTGCCGCAACTGCCGATGCTGGCGGAGACTCGAAGATATTGATCCAGTTCAACTACATCGATCGTGAAACTCAAACCTTGGATACATCGTTTACATCGACACGCGAGACGATGACCGTTCCGCCAAAGCGCGCCGGCTATTCAGACAGTGTCACTCAGTGGGAGATCTACGACAGGTGCATCGAGGAACAAGCGCGCTTGGAAGCGGAGAAGAAGCGGAAAGCGGCTGCCAGTGCGCGCCAGCCGGCAGGCGGAGCGCAGGCGCAGACGGCGGCGGAACCTGAGCCACTACCGGACGAGCCAGACGAGCTTGAGATCACGATCAAGCTGGAGAACCTGGAGCCCAGCAGTGGTTCAGGAGGCAAGAAGAAGAAGACAGGTGGCATAGGGGGCAAGGGTGGTGATGATGATGGTGACACCGAGGAGCCTGTGAAGGAGCACGATTGCTCGGCCATCAGCAAGGTGGCCAAGGTCATGGAGCGCATGGTCACGCAGAACGGCGTGCGCGATCGCATTCACGACATGGTGTACTTTGACGATCCGCGCGACGGCACGGCAGGCTACAAGAAGCCCGGCACGCTCCTACACCTGTGGAGCGTGAAGGGTAACTACGGGTTCGGTATAGCGGTGAAGTCGTTCTGCCTGTGCCCGCGCTACTCGGACATGTTCGTCGCCACCTACCGAGGAGGGAATCATACACAAGTGCTCCACGCTTTACCAGCAGAACTACATCCGCTCATTCCAAGCGCACAACTTCACCATCTACGCGGTGCGTTGGAACCCATTCCAGCCGCGTGTGTTTGCGACGTGCGGAGTGGACAGTTGCGTGAAGATCTGGGATGATGAGCGGCCAGAGACGCCGCTGTTTGTATTCGACCTGGACGACCCCGTGATTGACTTCTGCTGGGCATCGTACTCATCAACCGTGTTCGTCGCCGGCACAATGAACGGATATGTAAGTGAATTCCACGTGTTTGTATGTACATGTACATGGTGTGTGTGTGTGTGTAAAAAATAAAAAAATAAATGGAAAAATGAAAAATAGGGATTCACTGGCCAGAAAAAGTCACTTCAAACAGCTGTGTGGTGGATACCAGGCTAAAAATAGTAGCGGTCAATTCATCCGCCTTGCAAGCTGTTGAATGGTGCAATCCCAGCACAAGTTGCTGTGTCTAACATAGCTGTTCGCTATCATCGCTTCCGCGATGGGCATGTCTGAGGTCTGAGGTGTGTGTGTGTGTGTGTGTGTGTGTGTGTGTGTGTGTGTGTGTGAGCGTGTGAGCGTGTGTTGGCGTGCTCACTCGTGCACGTGTGTGCTCATATGTTTGTCTGTATGCTCATATGTTTGTCTGTATGGTGCGAGGTGTTTCAATGTGGGTACCAGTGTCTGCTCCAGAGCCAGGTCAGCCGGGTCAGCGGCCCCTGCGGGTGGGGTGTACTTTGACCAGTTTGAACAAAGAACACTGGATCACTTGTGACCCGGTTGGGAAGACATAAATACATCCCGGAGTCCTAAAATATGTGTTACGGCTCCCTGATGTAGATGCAGTAGCCGCACTTGAGCGTACCCGGCTCTGACCTGGTTGAAAGAGTTGTGCCATGTACAACTGTACTCGGTTGGTTTGAAATCCTAGAGTAGGCACTGGGTACGCTTGTAGCAGATAGTGGTTGGGCAGGCACTGGGTACACCTATAGCAGATAGTGGTTGGGCAGGCACTGGGTACACTTGTAGCAGATAGTGGTTGGGCAGGCACTGGGTACACCTATAGCAGATAGCGGTTGGGCAGGCACTGGGTACACTTGTAGCAGATAGTGGTTGGGCTGTTGGCATCGGGTTTCACTGGTTTAATTAAGGGTTTACTGTGGTGCATGCATGTCACTTTGTTGGTTTCAGTGTTTTTATACTCACGATTTGAAGCATACGTACATGTACATACACTTGTGGGCTAATCAGTCTGTCTAGTCTGGCTAGATCAACTCTTGTGTGTGTAATGAATGGTGCTGGTGAAACCTGTCAGATCCACTCTGATTTGCAAACCACTCTGCACCCCAGTTTTTATTTATTTATTTATTTCACCTTCCCGTGGCCAGGGAATATAGGCCAATAATGCAATATGGAGGGAGGGGGCGATAGCCAGCCATGGCAGTAAGCAAAAACAATGCAAAATTTAAGAAAAGTACTTCGAAGTACAAATTACAGGAGGCAATAACCTACACAGGGCGAGGCAAAGAGAAACAAATCTGGATGAAGAATTAGCAGTTATTAGAACGCAAGCTTCATGTTGACCTTGAAATCATTTAGCGTACAAGACGATTTTACTGATGAAGGCAGGGCCAGCCAGAGATAATAGGCAGCGAAAAACGGAGATCTGGTATAAGCTGATGTTCGGGCTTTAGGCAAAGTACAGTAATTGCGTGTGCTGTATCAAGTACGAGCCCCTTCACTGGATGCGGTTGGATCTCGGGATAGATAACCTGATGGTGCCTTCAATCCGTTTCTGTACAATGTTCTTCCCCCGACCTACTGGGGGCAGGGTAGTCGCCTGGACAGGTTCAAGTTACTGCACAGTAGTGGCAACAGTGAAATGTTACTACGCAACATAACTACACGCGTGGACAAAGAGATCCGGCCTGTGAGCCGAAAGCAGCATCAAGGCTCGTGCAGCCCTCGGATGGGTTTTTGACCATGCATGATGTAATATCAAATTGCATGATGTAACTAAAATGGAAAAGCACTGCTACTTTTGACTCTTGGGTTGGATTTCTTTTGCCACGACAGTACTTTACGCCATCCCAAGAGATTCATTTTACATTCTCACCGAAAAAATTAATGATGAACACGCCACGGTCTATAACACTGAAAAGAGTACATAACCCCCCAGAGTTTTCCAACGCCTGATCCAGCTCTGCATAGGGTCTTGGTCGAGCATATTCGGATCTTTGCGTCATAATACCGTACACATCTGAGAGGAACCCGGGGAGTCGCGGGTACTCTCGGATCAAAAACAATGGTGCCCTGCCTCGAGACCGGCCTTGCGCTGGTGTGGAGTGTACGCATGACATCAGAAGATCCGATTACGCTCGACCAAGACCCTATGCAGAGCTGGATCAGGCGTTGCACACTCTGGGGGGTTATGTACTCTTGATAACATGTAATCACGATAAATCCACACACTTTTTAAATATAGAGTGCCAGAAGACAAAAAAATGAGTTCATTGTTTCCACCCGGGATCGAACCGGGGACCTTTCGCGTGTTAGGCGAACGTGATAACCGCTACACTATGGAAACTTAGACATGTGATGGGTTTTCAGCACCTTCTATTGAATGGAATAATGTAGTCCACTTAACAGGACAAAGACAGCGTTTCTGGGATTCGAAGCTACGCTCTGGAGTGACTAGAGCCGAAGGGCCGGGTTCCACTGGGGCTCCGCTGCTCCGCGGCACTTGGCTGCATGCAGCGGAGCAGCGCGGTTCCACTGACACTCGCTATTCGCGGTACCGCGGTTGTGCTCCATTTTTTTTAATGACGTTTACCTGCATACCCGCGCGAAATCAAAACAATCCTCGTCATCTGGCCTGCGCAACGCATTAAAATTTGAATTTTAAAATTCTCGCTTACAAAACAATGAAAAATGCCGGAAATAGGTCGAGCTGCAACCGCGGCTCGCAGTTTTTGAATACAAATTGTAGCGAAAGCTCGCGGTGAGCCGCGTACTCGCAGCTCCAGCTCGAGCCGCGTACTCGCAGCTCCAGCTCGAGCCGCGGCCACTATGGTAATCATGATAATGTTTCATGCCGCGGATGACGTACAGCGGAGCCGCAGTGGAACCTGGCCCATAGTGACCGCGGCTCGAGCTGGTGCAGCGAGGCCGGGGCTATGGATAGGCCCCCGTGTAATATGCCGGCATTCTTTTGAGCATTTTCGGTACAATCTGCGAACCCAGCACTTTGGGCTCGTGATGCAGCATTTTGGGGGAAACGGAACACTTGGCCGTTGTGTATCAAAATTGAGAGAAGAAAAGCTTCCCAAACAAGAACGTCACTTCCGCATTCCGTGGGTTAGCTTCTTGTTGAGAAGTTTATGAATTGAAAATAATGGTTTTGACCAGGGAGTCGTAAAATACCGGTGTTTTCTGACTCCCTGGTTTTGAGTCTTTTGACGGCGTGTGCTGAGGATTACAAAAAAGTGAGCTTTTCCGAGCATGTTCGGCAAGGTTTGGGAGCATTTTCGGCAAGGTTTACGAGAATTTCCCAAAAGCATTTTCGGCAAAGTTTTGGGCATATTACACCGGGCCATAGCTATGGATAGATAGCGTGCTTGCAGTCCGAATGTCTGCCATGATCATGTTGGGGATTTGCATACGCGCAGTCAGTTTCTTTTTTTTCACAGACTCAACCAAGCCTCTTGTACTGGAAAAATAAACACAATTACAAGTGCAACCTCAACAGCACAGGAAGAAAAAAATGGCTGTGAAAACAGTCGAGAGAGCAAAAATGACTGTGAACACAGTCGAGACAGCAAAAATGATTGTGAACACAGCCGAGAGAGCAAAAACGGCTGTGAAAACAGTCTAATATGGAGCCTCGGGAGAATAACCGGTGCTGCTCATCGCAGTGAGTTTCTTTCAGAGAGTGATAATGTGATGATAATGAAAAAGATAAATAGTATGAAAAAAGGAATCCTGGCAGCGGTGGGATTCGAACCCACGCCTCCGAAGAGACTGGAGCCTTAATCCAGCGCCTTAGACCACTCGGCCACGCTACCATTCACGAACTGCCTGGCTAGTGATTCGCTGAACAATATGGAGCGACAGGATTTGAAGTTGCACTGGTTGTTGGGACACAGCAAGATTTGCCCAGATCCCCGGAAAATGCATTCCTGAGTTATTTTTTCATGAAGTATCACCAGTGATATGAGTCATGTCTACTGTTAGAAAACTTATGGTTAGATTACTGTAAAGTGAGAAACTTACGCTAGAGATTAATTTTCCCTATTTTCACCACCATCACACATTCGAGAATATAAATTGCCGCAAACTGCTCTGTACATTGATCGTAGACAGTAAGGTCCAACTGAAGAGATACAATTGCAAAAGTTTCTCATCGTGAACCAGCCCAATTCATGAAAACTCGAAATGCGTGCGCCGCGAAAGTAACTTAGTTTGTCGCTTTTTAAGAAGGTGCAAGTTGTAAGGATCTGATAGACCTGTCCTCCCTGCATTTGATCATGGTTGTGATTAGTGGTCCTCACGGGTAGCCGGGTACCCGTGAGGACCTCGGGTAGCACGGGGAGAGAATAGTACCCGAAAACCCGAAGTCACAGATGACATCATGTACAGTGCACGTGTACAAAATTATGTAATACTCCGCATGTCTACCCAGTGTGTAAGGGAAGGGGTGCATTGTGGTGTTACCATGGAAACACCGCCCGATCGGGTACCCTTGCTACCCGTAGAAAACTAGCCGAATCCGATACCTGAAGAAAATGCTACCCGACTCAGCCTTAGTTGTGATGCTGATCACCGGGGGTCTGGAGAACTTTAAAGGGATGGTCTTGCAGTTATCTTTCCGTTTTGTACAGGCGGGCATAGGAATCCAGTCGATTGACCAGGGCCTGCGCGCCTACAGAACAGTGCACAATCATGTTGATCCGATGCGACCAGTGTGCTGCAGCGCAAAATAATTACATGTATGTCATCAGGTCATGCATGTACTGCTCACCCATGGCTGCATGGCCACTGCAGCGCCCTGAGGCCGCTAGATGTGTGACCGGATTTCCATGTCCACGACAGTACACGATGTATTGCGCTAGGATCAGATGTTTTCCTGGCTCGGAAGTATGCCACAACATTACAGCTGTTCGACATTTTTATGTCTAAGAACAAGTCTCCACCAGCAAGAAACACAGCACACCCTATGTGTAACACCTATCCCAGCAGTTCACCCACTACACACTTGTACAACCATTGAAAAACTATCGCTGTTTCGTTTGCTTGCTTTCGTCCCATGCTGGTGTGCGCGTGCAGGCCCATGTGTACGACTTGGACATTGACAAGTACAACCCGCTGTGCAAGCAGGACGTCATACCGTACAGCAAGAATCGCCTGACCAAGGTGCACTTTGTCCCCTCGCAGATGCTTCTCATTGCCGGCGACGATCATGGCAACATACACACGCTCAAACTCTCGCCCAACCTGCGCAGGGGCGTGCGCAAGACGTCGCGCCAAAGCCAGTTGCGCAAGATGAACGAAGTCATCGCCTGGGTTTGGGAGCCAGCCGATATGGCCAGCGGTAACAAGAAGAAGAACAAGAAAGGTGGCAGAGGCGGCAAAGGTAAGGGTAAGAAGAAGGTGAAACACTAGGAGCAGCTGCTGAAGCAGCCACACTTGCACGTCGCATGTATCCGTCCTACTGCACAGTGCACACAAGGTGTTCAAGCAGCCACGCTTGCTAGTCGGATGCGGCGTCCTCCAGGAAAGTGCAACTGTGAGTAAGGAGTTTTTGTATACGCGTAGTATTACCAGCTTTGCACGGCACTACACTCCAATTCCCACTAGACAGCATAACATTTGCCAATGTCGGATCCACGTGACGGATTTAGTGAAACCTTGTCTCATGAATCGAAAGTTCAGTTGCATGGCTTTGTTGTGGAGCGTCACACAGTGGGAGATCTACGATGCGTACACCGAGGAGCTGGAGCGGCAAAAGCGCGAGAAGGAGGCCAAGGAGAAGAAGAAGGGTGGCCGCGACGAGACGGCAAAGCGTCGGGGAAACGACGAGCTGGGTATGACGTCATCGTCGATGGGACCGGAGGATTACCGGCCGGTGGCCAGAGCGGCAAAAATCATCGAACGCATGATCAACCAGAACACGTACGATGGCATGGGGCAAGATTTCAAGTACTACGAGGACCCTGTGGACGATTCATGCAAACTCATCGGTACTCTGATGCCGATGTGGAAATTCGCCTATGATGGCGCCAAGAAGATGACCGTCACCACCATCGCCAACAACGAGCGCTACCCAGACCTCTTTGCCGTCGGCTACGGCTCGTTCAGCTTCGAGAAGCCAGGCAAGTTCGGCCTGGTCTGCTTTCACACGCTGAAGAACCCGTCGTTTCCCGAGTACGTGTTCTGCCTGGGCAGCGGCATCATGTCTCTGGACATTCACCCGGAGCTGTGCCACTTTGTGGCGGTGGGCCTGTACGACGGAAGCGTGGCCGTCCTGGACGTGCGTCGTCCGGCCAGCGAGCAGCCCGTATTCCAGTCAGCCGTCAAAGATAAGCACATGGACCCGGTTTGGCAGGTGCGCTGGCAAAAGGAGGACTCCGAGGAACGTCTCAACTTCTTCAGCGTGTCGTCGGACGGCCACGTCGCCTGCTGGACCATAATCCGCATGCAGCTCGAGCGGCAGGAGATCGTCACCGTTCGCCTGCTCAACAAGCCGCAGCCAACGCCCAAGAAGGGTGCTGAAGTCAAGGTGTTCAACGACCTGGCACGGGCGACTTGCTTCGACTTCAGTCCGGTCGTGGACAACATCTATCTGGTCGGAACTGAAGAAGGCATCGTCCGCAAGTGCTCCAAGACCTACAGCACCACGTTCCTGCACTCGTTTCAAGCCCACAGCAACGCCATCTAATAGTACTCGATTCGCTGGAGCCCGTTCCAGCCCCGCATGTTTGCCACATGCAACGCTGACTGGGCACTGAAGCTCTGGGATGGCGAGATGCTCTCTTCGCCGCTATTCAAATTCAACTTCACTGACACTGTGTCCGACTTTGACTGGTCTCCGTTCTCAGCTACAGTGTTTGCTGTGTCCACTGAAGATGGAACTGTGAGTTGTGTACTGTGCACTAGGCTGTTTAGTGTAGGCTTAACTGACACAGTCCTGGGAACACTGGGCTGTGGGCTGGTGCAGGCCATTACCTTCTTTATCTGATCTGATTTCCGACTCTGCAGCATTCTTCATGTACGGGCCCACGTGCCCACACACATACACACCACACACACACACACACACACACACACACACACACACACACACACACACACACACACACACACACACACACACACACACACACACACACACACACACACACACACACACACACACACACACACACACACACACACACACACACACACACACACACACACACACACACACACACACACACACACACACACACACACACACACACACACACACACACACACACACACACACACACACACACACACACACACACACACACACACACACACACACACACACACACACACACACACACACACACACACACACACACACACACACACACACACACACACACACACACACACACACACACACACACACACACACACACACACACACACACACACACACACACACACACACACACACACACACACACACACACACACACACACACACACACACACACACACACACACACACACACACACACACACACACACACACACACACACACACACACACACACACACACACACACACACACACACACACACACATACAATTCACATGAATTTGGGGCTAGATCGCCTCTCTCTCCAAGGAGGATGCTGGATAAAATGTGGTCAGATGCACATAATTATATCATTTTATTTGCTCCTTGTGCAGTGTTCGCGCAGTGATATTGTAGAATTAACACTCACAATGTTAACATTAGATGTACGTGAAGTGATGCAAGCACTCGCAGTGATGCGTATTGACCTGCTTCTGGCGCTCTGTCTCTTTCGTAGGTCCGCGTCTTTGACCTGAGCGTGGACAAGTACGACCCACTCTGTCGGCAGCTGGTCACGCAGAAGAAGAACATGCACCTGACCAGGGTCCGCTTCAACAAGGAGTTCCCCTTCTTGCTGGCTGGGGATGATCGCGGCTACGTGCAGTCTCTGAAGCTGTCGCCAAACTTGCGCCAGGCCCTTACGTCCAAGACCTACTCAACGGAGACTGAAGTCGCCAAGATGGACAAGCTCATCGCCTGGGTTCAAGAGCCAGCAGAGCACAAATAACCACGCGAGGCAAGTATGCGTTCTCAGATTGCCCCTGGAAAAGCAGGTCAGTAGATTTGTCACAGACTGTGCGGTGCTCCGTGTTTGCTGTGGTTTCTGCGACTGTTGGCCGTGGCCATTTCCCCATGCCCTGGTACTGATTGAGAGCATCACTTTGAGCAATTGTTGGAGAGCTATGGACGACAGGTTACTATCAAGTCAAAACTCTGATCTAGGAGTGGAATTGGCCAAGGGAGCATTCACCGGCTTCAACCATGCCTTTGCCACACTTCTGTTTCATTGAACATTTGGAAATAGTGAGCTCCTTGTTAGGCTCGTGACTATGATGGTATGTTTTTTTTCAATTTTACTTGAGCAATTATTTTGATTGTATATTGCAGACACGCATGTGTATATACATATTATAGTCTGGATAAAGATATCACTACATTTGCACTACCCAGTCATTCTGGATTTGAATTGGAATGAACACTAGGAAGCCTGCATAATAGCATAGAGTCAAGTGTACATATCTGTACCCAAGCATGCTTGGGCAGTGTCCCCACGCGTGGACTGCCTGGGACAGCCTGGCCTCCGAAGTACATACGTGTGTGACTGTCTGTATGCATGTCATTTTTTGATTTGATCCAGTATTAGTAGTAATGGTGTGCTCTAGACTCATCTGTGACTTCTGCCAGCAAACTGAGATAATGCTGTGGTATTGCTTGCTCATAACTACTCGGTGTGTGTGTGTGTATCCCTGAGCACCTTGGGAAGAGATTCGGAGCATTTGAGGTGCGTGTTGACTATCATATTCCCCAGAATATAAATTGCACCTTTTCACGCTTTTCAAAGGGCAAAAAAGGGGAGAGAATTCCGATCAAGTGTGACATGATCCTAGCTATGTTGCTACAGTATAATTATGGATCAGATCTGAAAATGGGAGTGTGATTTATAATCGAGTGCGACTTATAACCGGCGAAATAGGGTATAATAATTATGCTTCCTGATTTCAAATCAAGTAGCTTTGCTCTGGAAGAAGATGAATTGTACAGGAGTACGGGACGACAATTGTATATTGGTGTATGAGGGTGGGAGGAAGGAGTGAGGGGGGGGGGGGGTAGACTCTTTTCCTATCATATCCGGAACTGCCCATTGCGGCAGAGTTCATCCACGGTAAACTCCATGCAAGTTATAACAGTTATGACATGGTACCTCCACAGTCCTGGATCTGTTCACACAAACACCCAAGTCAGCCGGTCATCAGTGATTTCGATCACAGTACTAGTCCATTCAGAAAAAGATGGACTTCTAGCTTTTGACCATAATTCCCATAAATGGGTCAAATGTTGAGTTTTTTTAGAATGTTTTTCTGCAATCCCCTGTGGAATCCTCTTCCAAATGCAAGTATATTTCTGAAGTCAACTAATCTTGTCCAAAAAGCAAGCCATAACAAGAATAGGATTTCGGCCAGGTTTTGCCTCAAAAGCACTGAATTGGGAAAACCATCAAAGTCCAGGCCGTTTGACCCTGCCTGCAACAGTGTATTGTGCGGTTCGAACTCCAGTTCAGGTACCCTTTTTGGACCCTTCTTCAAATTTCAAATTTCGTAGCACTGCACTGTGTGTGATAAAATCATGAAAAATCGCCAAATGCGGGAGCTCCGAAGAACCAGTGTCCATTTTTTTTTAACGAATGGACTATAGCATCAGATTATATTCTGATCATTTTCACGTTGTTCCATTTTGTCACATACATGTACATGTACACTCCACTGTACTGGTTAGCCGAAGCTATAATTGAAATGTGAAAAGTTAGACGTGGCATGCTGGTGTACAATGTACAACAGGAGTGTAAATATTAATAATATCAAAATGAACAACTTTCTATGAGACAAACAAATATTCTGGAAGGAAAAAGTACAGACTACTTGTCGAGTTATACATACCGTATTATCTCTAATATAAGCACGGTCCTTTATTTTTTCAATGTACCTCCGCCCCGTGCTATTAATGGAGACGTTCTTTTATTGGTGTTGCAAACCACCAGTTCTCAAGTGGGAAAGGCCTTCGCGCTTATGGCATTGTATTCGTTGCAATGTTGTATTTCGACTCAGCCGTACCGCTGATATTGCTGCATGGCATGCGCTATATGCGCTGTGTGCGTTTTTGCTGTATACGCTGTTATGTCCCGTTTTTTATGCGTATGTTTTGCATGTACGCTGTTTTGCATGTACGCTGTTTTGCATGCTATAAATAGCTGGTGTTATTAGTGTTCATTGTTAATTATTCGATGAAGTGAAATATACTGTGTAAAGGAAAAGAGTTGTCCTCGTGCCGTGTGGTCGTACGATCCTGACAATTTAGAGAATCTTAGAGGGTTCAAAACAATTGGAGACTGTTCCATTATTATTTCAACCTCATTTCAGAGGAATGTTACCATGCCAAATTCATGTATGACACACACATTTCAGGGTTTTTTTCGCCGGTACAGATAATGAATTTCAAGTACACAGTGTGCTTATAATGGAGACTAAGCACTTTATTTTTTTAATGCCGCCCCAAGGTGTTCTATTATTGGAGACTGTGCTTATATTAGAGATAATACGGTAAGCAGTCGGAACCGATGAAACATTTACATACGGATAAAATAATGATTACGTGTATCGTCAAACGAGTGGAGAAAAGAAGAAAGAAAGGAACAGGACGGTGAAACTAGAGGTAAAAATAGTACACCGTGTTCTATTGTTTAAAAAAAGTGAAGGCTGTGTAGTGTAGATATGTAGTGTAGATATGTAGTGTAGATATGTAGTGTAGATATGTAGTGTAGATATGTAGTGTAGATATGTAGTGTAGATGTGTAGTGTAGATATGTAGTGTAGATGTGTAGTGTAGATATGTAGTGTAGATATGTAGTGTAGATATGTAGTGTAGATATGTAGTGTAGATGTGTAGTGTAGATATGTAGTGTAGATATGTAGTGTAGATATGTAGTGTAGATGTGTAGTGTAGATATGTAGTGTAGATATGTAGTGTAAATATGTAGTGTAAATATGTAGTGTAGATATGTAGTGTAGATATGTAGTGTAGATATGTAGTGTAGATATGTAGTGTAAATATGTAGTGTAGATATGTAGTGTAGATATGTAGTGTAGATGTGTAGTGTAGATATGTAGTGTAGATATGTAGTGTAGATATGTAGTGTAGATGTGTAGTGTAGATATGTAGTGTAGATATGTAGTGTAAATATGTAGTGTAAATATGTAGTGTAGATATGTAGTGTAGATATGTAGTGTAGATATGTAGTGTAGATATGTAGTGTAAATATGTAGTGTAGATATGTAGTGTAAATATGTAGTGTAAATATGTAGTGTAGATATGTAGTGTAGATATGTAGTGTAGATATGTAGTGTAGATATGTAGTGTAAATATGTAGTGTAGATATGTAGTGTAAATATGTAGTGTAAATATGTAGTGTAGATATGTAGTGTAGATATGTAGTGTAAATATGTAGTGTAAATATGTAGTGTAAATATGTAGTGTAGATATGTAGTGTAGATATGTAGTGTAGATATGTAGTGTAAATATGTAGTGTAGATATGTAGTGTAAATATGTAGTGTAAATATGTAGTGTAGATATGTAGTGTAGATATGTAGTGTAGATATGTAGTGTAGATATGTAGTGTAAATATGTAGTGTAGATATGTAGTGTAAATATGTAGTGTAAATATGTAGTGTAGATATGTAGTGTAGATATGTAGTGTAAATATGTAGTGTAGATATGTAGTGTAAATATGTAGTGTAGATTATGTAGTGTAGATATGTAGTGTAGATATGTAGTGTAGATATGTAGTGTAGATATGCAGCTTGTAACGTCTTCAAATGAGTGAGACCATAAACACATTTACGTGACAAAACAAAGAAATGTTTATCAGCACACACACACGTGCACAATCAGCATTATCAATGAGGTGATTAGCCACAGAAGAATTCTGCTTCCGATCAACGGCACGAACATGCACTAACCCGTGAATTAGATGTACGATTCGACTCATCCGGTGTTGTCGCACTCCAACACACACTCCCACACATACACACGCACACCAGGGGCGTGCTGATTGTAATGATACTCTGTGTGTTTGGCATAGGGTAGTTGATGTGTGGTTTTGCTCCAACACGTCCCTTTTAAAACTACTCTACACTTTATTTGTCGTACTAGCGTATTGTAATCGACTCGCCGGTGTTGTTGAGACGGAAATATGGATACCACTTTCCTCCACCGCTAGCGTGGTCAGAGGGTAGGCTGAGGATCTTCACTCGTTCCATGCCTCGGAACAACACCTCGATCCTCTGACTATCTACATCGATAGTCAAACACACGTCGCAATCCTTGCGTGGTAAAACGAGGTCAGACGACTTGTCATGCGCATGCTGTTGACAATGGTCATCGCACCACCACCATCCTTGTACCTCACTGCACGTCTCTGCTTCCCTGACTGTAGCCCTGTCTTTCAGCTTTGCTACACCCATGAAGATGTTATGATGATCTTCCCAGTTGGTCTTGAACAACCAGCATGCTCTGCCAGATGCGTGTCCGGTAGCACATACAGCCATTGCACAGTCAGTATTAGTAGCGGTGACAGTGCAGCTGTCCTCAGACAATGATAGTGATGTTGAGCGCAAATAACGGCTGAACTTTTTGAAGTGATAATACACATACCAATTGACCTTCTTCTTTTCAGCTGATGATACATGTATAGGATAACCACCAAGGACAGGTCGGAACGCTTCAGCCTCACATATTGGTTTACCGTTGTAGCTGCGGCCCACTGTTAATTGCATTTCCTGCGCATGATCATCAGGGTGCATCAAGCTTACATGGACATCATCCGGGACGGTATCAACGTGAAGTGGTCGGTTGTCAAAGCCTCGAAGTGGAAATTGGAGGATATGCATATCTGCCTCCGGTGTTGACCTCTTCTTATGTGTACAATGCACCATCCTCTCCACGTCCACTCTGGTTGAGAACACAGTTGTTTGTGACTTTACAGTCTTGACAGCATTCTCCACAGCGTCCTCATCAATGGTCACACCTAGCTTTCCAGTGATATGAATCATTGGTGTGTCCAGGTCTTCTGATGTCATGCTACTCGTAGCGTCCAGAATACTGCTGTGAAGCGATAAGACATGCTGGTCCATTGTTGATACTGTGTCTCTGGAGGAAGAATCAGAACAGCCTTCAGCAAGGCGATCACCAAGCACCTGGATGGTGTCAATTGTCTGGCGCTTTGAATTCAGGCGGCTTTGCTCAGACTCCAAGTGTATCCGTTTTTTCCACCTGATCTGGTCGATCTCATCCTTCACACGTTGCTTGTCTTTCTCCAAGGCTTTGATCAGATCGTTGTAAAACGTCTCCACTTTCTTAGATGCATCAGTAGCCTGCTCGTCAACTTGATCCACTGCAGCACTGAGGTCTGTTAGTCTGTCGTCCAAACCGTCCAGGTCAGACAAGCCCGGCACACTGCTGATTTCCTTTACAGCTCGGAGAATTTCTTGCCTCTGCTTCTGGACAACATCCGTA